TGTCCATCCAGTTCATCCCTACCAAGGTAGTAACAAGGTCACCCTCCACACCTTGGATCATAAGTGGGGGTGACCTGGGGATCCCAAAAGCCCTAAGGAGGAGTCTACATTTCTATCTTCACCAGGCTATGATAAAATCTTCTACATCCCCACCATGGTGATGTCAAAGAAGACCACACAGGGGCCAGGGTGTCCAGTTCATCCCTACCAAGGTAGTAACAAGGTCACCCTCCACACCTTGGATCATCAGTGGGGGTGACATGGGGATCCCAAACTTCTACGCCCACCCATCCCTACATGCTAGGCTTAGAGGAGAGTCAGGACTTTCAACACCACCCAACAGCAGTGAAGCCACTAACACTCCTAACCATAGTGTCAGTGGAGGCCAAGTAGGTAGTGGCTACTCTTCATAGCCAGGGAAGTACCAACGGAAGTCTAGTGGGAGCCAGAACTCTTGCCCATGCCAGCAGTAACAAGGAGCCCTTGCTCCCTCATATATCAACAGAGGACAAGTAAAGAAATGTGGGCTTCTACCTCCACCTGCCATTAATTCTACTCTCCCTTCTACTGAAACAATATCAGAGGATGCCAAGTAAAACTAAAGACTTAAATGAGACCCATAATCTCATAACATGATGCCCAAAACCTCTAGGTTTCAAGTGCAAATTACTTATAATACCAACAATCAGGAAGATTTCAAATGAAATGAAAAAAAGACAATCAGTAGATGTTAACACTATGAAGAGCAAATGCATATCCAGTAAATGCCATAGGCAATAAAATGAACTTTGACCTAAGTTTTATACCTTGCATAAAAACTAACTGAAAATGGATTATGTACTTGAATATAATATATAAAATTATAAAATTTGGAGAAAAAACATAGAAGATAATCTTTGGGGTCTTGGACTAGGCAAAGAGTCCTTAGTCTGGAAACTAACAGCATGACACACACACACACACACACACACACACACACACACACACACAAAACTGGTAAAGTGGACTTCATCGGAATTAAAATCTTTCGCTCTGTAAAAGACTTAAGAGGTTGAGAAAACAAGCTATAGACTAGGGAATATTTGTGAACTACTTATGTAAATAATGATTAATGTCTGGAATGAATAAAAAGTTCTCAAAATGCAACTGTAAAATATCAAGCAATCCAATTAGAAAATGGGAAAAATACATGAATAGATATTTCACTGAGAAGGATATATAGATGGCCAATAAAAGCATGAAAAGATGTTAAACGTCATTAGTTATTAGAGAAATGAAAAATAAAACTACAGTGAGTATCACTATATGCTTATAAGAATAACTAAAATAAAAACTAATGACAATATCAAATGCTGGCAAGGCTGTTAAAAAATTAAATCACGTGTCCATTGCTCACAGGACTGTAAAAAGTTACAGTTACTCTGGCAAACTCTTCAAAAGTTTATCTTATTCCATTTTCTTTTATTCTACTATATTTTATCTTATTTTTAAAAGGCTGGTCAAGTAAAGCTGTAGGAGTGCAAAAGGAATGATCTGAATGAATCGCCAGAGAACTATGCTCAGTGAAAGAAGTCAATCCCCATATGTACTGTATAATTACATTTATATAATATTCTTGTAATGACAAAATTATAGAAATGGAGAAGAGATAGGTAGTTGTCAGTGCTTAAGGAAGAAGTTGGGGATAAGAATGAAGTGAGTGTGTCTATGAAAAGGGCAATAGGAGGGACCCTGTGGTGATAGAAATACTCTCTATCTTGACAGTATTAATTGTTGGTTATAGTTTTGCAAGATATTATCCTTGGATGTAAAGGCAGAACATGTGTTAGGGATCTCTCTGTGTTATTTTTTATAGCAACATGTGAATGTACAATTATTTAAAAATACAAAAGTTTAATTAAAAATTCAATCATCAACATCACATCTACATATTTAATGTCTGTACTACATGGCAATCATATGACTGTCCTTAGTTTATTTGAAGGAAAACCATCCAGTTTATAGACCTGCTACCTAAGTGGACATGTATTCTATTGCATTATCTTATAATCCATCATCTGATGCTACTTGATTAAGCCAGAAATAGCCCTGGACCAGAAGCCATAAAATCTTTGTTAAATCAGAATCTATGATCTCAGTGATCATATTGAGCCAATAAGATACTCTCTTTTGAAAATTTAAACACACACACACCCATTAAAACATAAGCATACACACAAGGAATAGTCTGTGTGCTCATTATTAAGTTAGTGTCTCTTAGTTAATATCCACACTGTTCTATTTTGTTTTGAGATGCTGGGGCTGAGACTCCACTAAGCATAATTCCTCTTCGCCACCTGGCTCCCTGTTTCTACCTATACAGGGAGCTAGAGGGAGGCTGTGATGTTGAGGGGGAAGAAGACACTTGCTTCCTGTTTCTGACAGTATCACCCTATACAGCTGCTGGTCCCAGTAGAACTAAGCAGCAGTTAGTTCCATTTTGTACTTTTTCTTCTAGTCTCCCAAACACCCTACTTGCCTCCCTCTCCTAGTAATACAACAGCATTAGCTGGCACCTCTTCCTCAGAGTGTGATTCTAGCTCTATTTGTGGATTCCCTTCTAGTGCATCAGGCTATAACAATGGTTGAGCAGCATCCCTCACAAAATTCTGAGTCCCAGCTCCATGGGGTCCCCAATCTGAGCTCCTAGGGGACCAACATCAGCTAGCTGGTGGCCTCGTCTTAAATACATGACTCTCTGTCAGGTTCCTTGCTGAGTTTCTAAAGTTCCTCTAACTTTCAGGGAACAACCTCACCTAAAACCCCTGACTCCCAGGTCTACAAAGCCTCTCCTCCCATATTCTACATTCCAATAATCTCTAATCCTTACTTTTGTCCCTACAGCCAGTATAGGCATTTCCTGCAGTAACTACCCCTGATTCCTCGGTGTCTTTTTTCCTCTTTCTTATTCTCTAATAACTGGTTAATGATTCTTTGATAATTCTATTAAATAACTGGTGTCATTTCTGTTTCTTGAATGTGATTCCACTTATACAGGTAGTTAGTAGCAGGAGTTGGAGCTGTTTAAAGTGAAAGAAGCTAGAGAGGTCATGAAAGTCTATGTGCAAGGCAAAAATTATAAGAGAAACAAATATTAGAAAGCTAAGAAAAACAATTAGAAGCAAAAAAGGGGAAAATAGAAATAGGAGTTCAGGGAGCAATACAGTGGAAAAGAGGATAAAGCCCCTGTTGTTCATGGAGAATGATACAAATATGTAAGAAACTTCTAGAACTGCCTTTTTTTCCTTCTTGTTTTCCCCTTCTGTTTCAGTTCCTTCCTATATGTGTTGCCAAAACAATTCCATTTTTTTAAATTGGTTACGTGTAAGTCTTTTTTTCTCAATAAACAACAGAAAAATAATCCTAACTGAAACAATGTCCTCCCTTGAGTATAGATAGAAAGACTAGGCTAGACAACAAGGAAAAGAGACAATCACATATGATTTAAAGAAAAAAAATTCAAGTCTTTTCTATCTTGTTGGTTCATGTTCCTCTTGAGTGGCTGTTGCCTTATCTTTATCTTACCTGCTCATCCTCATCTTTACAGAGAGCACTTCACACTCTGAAAACACCTCTATATCTAGGTTTTTATGTGATTCTCAAAACAAAGCAGTCTTCCTGAAGATAGCAACTCATCTTCTATTTAGCATAATCTACATAATGTGACAGAGTTGATGGCAGAAAGTAGTCGTCTTCTGGAAGGATCTTGAGTTACAAATGCAGGACAGATAGTTCTTGTAAATGTAACCCAGAGAGAACTGAATATTAGCAGGAATATTCTAGAATCTTTGAAGAATGAGAGTACAGTACAGAATCCCTTCCTCTCTGTTCCCCTCTGCTCGTTTTCCTTGCCTGACAATTTTCTGCCATGACTACAAAAGTTGAATAAAATTTTTGTTTAATTTCCAGAATGTAGTTTGAGTTGGTTCTGCTACCACCATCCTCTTATTTGCTTCCTAGTTGCAGTAATTAAATCTGCTTTAGAAATAGCCCACCCAACAGGGAGAAGAATAAAGATGGCAGCACATAGATGTTTGGATATTTCAAAAATGAGCAATTCTCTTTACCTTGGTTTCAGATTCACTTATAACATTTCCACTTACCCCTTAAAACAGCATGAATGATTCAAATATTCTCCAGTTAAAATGGTAACTACAAACTTCTCTCTTGCCATGAATGGTGCTTAATGTCATTGTGATTTGATCATTTTTATTTTTTCTCTTTGACACAATGAAACCCCACAGATGAACAAACAGCTTGTTTCCATTTCACTGAGCTGTATGGCTCCCGTTTCTAGGTGTTGAGTTGCCTTGACTCTCTATGGTATAACATTTACCTACAGAGGATGCCATAACCCACAGCACTTGGACTTTCATTCTTCTCCACCAGTTCATTCAGGCAAGTACAACTCCCAATAGCCCAACAGAAAATATTTTCATGCTGTTCACACATCAAGCTTTCCAATCTCCCCAGGTTTTCAAAGGGAGAATAAAAAGCCAACTACCTTTCCCAAACACTTTGTTCCATATTAATGACCAAACCGCTGTTCTAGTTTCAAGAAAGGAAGGGAGCATCACCATTTGTCTGGTTGTTTCATCCTGAATCCTGGGCAGGCCAATCTGCCACTCTTTCAACTCCCGGGGCAGCGTGCAGAAACATCTGTTTGAGGAACAGTTTGACTCCCTCCCTTCTGCATAAATCACTAGTAGTGAAAGTTTTATGAGGTGGGTACTTTTTCCTCCTGCCTTCTCCTCTTGTAACGGACTGAAGCCCAAATGAACAAGATGAAATGGCCAGACATTTAGCCATATGCCACTATCCACATGTGTACTTATGGGAGGGAAGAGAAGCTGACAACTGTACCAAAGGAACATTATAGTTATCTAAAATGTAATTAACAACCTCGTAGTCATTAGACTCTTTGAAAGATTCTAACAGTGTAAATTATACCTCTCACTTACCTGTAGCAAATGGTCCATGGAACGGTTTCACTGCAAAACTTGAATCCAGTTAATTTATTGGGATTCTAAAGTAGTTCAGGATGTTTCCATATTGTTAATCTACATAGGTTATCCCTGCTCTTCCAGTAACTCCTGTACAGAATAGAATAAAAGGATATAATTAGGATTACATATTGTATAATAAATGCTGGTAGATTTTAACATCAATAATTCAACTAAAAAATTGACCATTTTTATTATTGGCATACTAGGAAGTAATGAGAAAAAAGGTTTTCTCTTATAAAAACTATATTGCATATGATGTTGGTTTTGTATCTATAATTACACCTAGTAGAAGTCCAGGTGAATGGTAAAGGCTCAAAAAAAGTTTACTGATTAGAGATTCAATATAATAGATTTAATTGAAATTTGCTTGTTAGTGCATACCTTGAGAAGGTGGGAAGGAATTTAACATCTGAGAAGTTACCACGGGCCTAGGGCTGCCTAGCTGCTTTTACATATATTATTTTATTCAATCAGCACAATAAACTTTCCAAACACTTACTATCTATAATCTGTTTGGCAGATGTTTTTATTGGCCTCATTTTTCAAATCATAAAAGGAAGAGTTATAATTAGAGGAGGTCAGATGTCAAGACCAGTTAAAGAAAATCCATTCTACTAACTACTTTCTTACTCAGATGGGAGAAAGGACCATGATTATTGCTTTGTTTCACTTAAATAATTAATATCAAAATATATTGTCCACTGAATCTGGCCCGAGGCAAAAGAAGAGTTACTTGGGGATTGGGCTATGGTGAATTCTAAGGAAAAAATGATAATGAATTTCATGTCACAATATATCACAATTATGGTCAAATTCTTTAACCATTATTAAATAAAAATTTATGGAAGGCCATTGTTTCTGACTGAACTCCTGCATTAAGGCCCAACAGACCAAACCTAAATGGAGTCACTCATGTTAAGTGCCATGAAATCAAATCGATGCTTGAAAAAATGTGAAAATCCCCAGACAGGCCAGTTGTTTTTTCCTGAGAAACAAGAGATTCACAGCAACCATATGAAAAAGGCCAAGTCAGCCTGAGCCAATACAATAAGGAAGTCTCCTTTGCTTTGATCTTTACAAGGGAAGTAACCTGTTGTTAACCAATCTGCTTTCACGTATTGTACTGTTTCCATGTTTCTGCTCAAGCTACTTTACAAAAACTTACTGTTCTGCCATGCCTAATGGAGTGTTTTCCTATTTTTATAGATGGGAAGCTATTCAATTCACGAATCACTAATAAAAACCAAACAGAGATTCAAACTCAATTTTTTGAAATTTTGTTCTTTGACACCATCACATAATTTTTCTTTCCTCCATTACATCTGTTTTGGCCTAAAATTCCACATGCCCATTTTGAATTCAGAGGGCTCTTTCAACTAAATTCAACATAAATAATTTTATGTGCATCTAAGCTATACTGCCTATTTCATTTAAAACTGTTGTATATTAACTAGTTTTTTATTAAGAAACTATTGACATGGTAATTCTCTCTAACCAGCTCATAAGGATCACCATGACATGAGAAAGCACTACATCGACCTCTTCCTGTTCCAGGAAGTAGCCAGCTACAGAAAACTCTCTGTCCCTCACAGTGAACAGTCTTTCCTCTTTTGAAATATCCTCAAACTGCTTACTTGCCCCCTTGCACCCATCCAATACTTATAAAATTTACCAGTTAGAAAGTCTCCCTTGCTTTCAAAAGTCCCATCTTAATAGAACACTTGCCAATTAGATCACAGTCTGAGCATTTTATCATTTCACACCATGAAATTTAATCCTCCTCTTAACAGCTTTGAAATACTGCTTAAATAAAAGTGATGGCAGAGGGATTCCCTTGCCAAAAGTTTATGAATAAATAGCTTTTGTTAATTTTATCTTGGACTTAGTGTTGCTCATTGTCATTCTGTTCTGTGTTATTGTAGGAATTCTTCTTAGGATTATATGAAACCCTAGAAGGAAGTGTCGAAAATGTGTTCAGCAGTTTACAGAACTTTCCTAGTACATTTTAAGGAAACAGTATAGTAGAGCTGATTGTGGGGGGGGGAGAAGAAGAAAAAGAAACAGATAAAAGAAAACAGAAGAAGAAAGAGAAAAAGACCTTGAATTACATTAGCACATGGGGGGATGAATACCAAACCTAGGAAGTAGTAGGAAATGGCTGTTAGAGTTCCTACTCTAATTCAATTTAATAAGTCTCTACAGGACACTCAATCTACCACTGCAATTATATCACTGTTACAATTTAATAAAATGACAATTTATTGGAGGTTTATTATATACTAAGCACCAGTTAAGTGATTTTCATGCATTATCTAATGTATGTAGGAAAAAAATTGGGGTTTCAATGAAAAACTATATATTGTATTTAACATACCCTTCTGCTTATCTGGTTCTGATTATACAGAAGAATGCTACAGATTTACAATTCTATAAATTGTAAATAACTCATAGTAGTAAAAAATAATTTTCTCTGTAGAAAAACAATTTTTTTCTCTTATCCAGTAGTGGTTCAGTTGACTTCCTTCCCTATTATGGAAGGAGTTAGTGTTGCCTCTATTTGCACATCCATTTCACTATTCTTCATCTGTAAAAATGTCTATATTTTAGAATTTCCTTTGAACTGGTTATAACTTTCTATATTCTTTTATTGATCAATAAGTTATGAAAAATATTTAACATCTGCTCATTTTATATACATATGCAGGTCATGATTTTACCTTTTTTGAAAATGGTCTTTGATCATTATTTACAACTCTATGGGGGATAGATGTTGTTGAGTATATTTTACAGGAAAAGCATAGCAGGGTCTCATGACTTGCCTGAGGACCACAAACATCCACTTTGCACCACCTGACTGTTGGGCACCATGTTGGATACTGAGACTGCAAAGCTGATGAAGGTTGTCTCTGGCCTCAAGGAGAGAAGAGTAAACCTCTAATAAGTGTTGCCTACATGTAAGGTGCCTCCATAGATATCTAGGAACTAAAACATTTGATAAATCCCTACTATCCAAATTTTACTTGCTACATGAAATACCAAACTCAAATAGATTCATAGAGTATTATACCCCTTACTATCTGAACTCGCTCTATAAATTCTTGCTAACTAAATTCAGGGACCAAATACATTTGGATAGGTAGGGATACTTGATTACTATCTTTTAATCCTTGAAATCACCTTGTGAGGTGGGCATTCTTCCCATTTGCATGGATAAGAAACATGAGGCTCAGAGAAAATAATATTGTTTTTTAAATCATAGTACTTTAGAATAGGAAGAGAGAGCAGGATCACACAGTCCAATGCTCTAATTTTATAGATGGAAAAGCAGAGCTCAGGGAGGCAGAACAACTCTAGAATCTCACGTCCAGCTAGGAGCAGTGCTTGTCTCTCCATCCATCACTTCTACTGGATTTTTTCCACTTATTTGGGACCAGTTATTAAGGATATTGGACTACGTATCAGTCAGAATCAGTGAGAAAGGATAGAGACACATTCTTAAAGCTTATTGAAGGTTCCCAGAGGGCCCCAAGAGTCTCTTTCCAAACTCATTTACCTGATTATTTTATTCAGCTGATCTGAAGATTTCTGCCTGAATTCGCTTCACCTTTTACCTTAATATTATAATTGTATATGTTCATTAATCTCATAGTTAAGGAATACCATGTGGTAATTTCAATATTTCAAAAAGGTAGAGACTACCAACATCCACAATAAGATAAAGGCTAACGAAAAGGTCAGGTGCCTTTGTGGCTCGATTTAAATAAACTCAAAAAGGGAATAATGCTTTCTAATATCAATCTGGAAGAAAAATAGAAGGATATATGTAGTTGATTAATAAGAATATGGAAAACACACTAAGTATTATTAAATGCATGGACTCTGTTAAGTAGGAAAAAAATATTGGGTTCATGTGACAGAGAGAAAATACTAAAGGAATTCTTGGTGGTAAAAGTTTTGGAAACCAATTTCTTATGTTCTACTGTTGCTCATGGAGTTTGAAGACCATCACAGAAAGACACCAACCTGGACAGCTTTACACTTTACTCACAATGTATAAGATCCTACTGTCAGCAACAATAGTACAACAAGAGAAATTTCTTATTATCCCCATATGCAGAGTGTGCCTGAAAATTTGGGCATATCTCAGAACCTCTGGCAGAATAAATTGCCTTTTAGCAGCTAATAGCCCCACAGTCTAGAAACACTTGGACCCCACATCCTCAAGACTGCTACACCATAAAAATCAAGCAAACTCTATGATTTCTTTTTCTTTTTATGCTCTCCAATCTTTCTTATATTCCTTCCCCTTCTCTACTGTCTCTTCCTTTTTTCCCCATTTTCCTTTTCTCTTTTTTCTTGATTTTTCTCCTTTGTCTTCATCTTCACACAGGTATTTCCATGAGGAAACTTTGGCCATAGGTATTGAATAAATAGTCTTATTTTAAATCACTGCTCAACAAGCAGAAAAGAGAGAGAGGTCACCGATTAGTAGTGTCCTTAATAGAGTGAGAGACTTTTATCACAGAAATGGGTTACTTTTTTTTTTAAAGGCAACAAATCTGTTGCTTGATGAAGTCTGTTTTTATGTCTTTTCAGCCATTCACAACATGCCTCTCATATAGGGCTGATTTTGTTTCAGGCCTTTACATCCTCTAGAGACTTTCCCTTAGGAAATTTACAACCTTCTGTTGCTTTCTAAGGCATCAAAATTCTAATAGAGCTGTGTACTATGTAAACCTATGCAAATTTCAGTCATTATGCAGATGTCCAAATATATTGCAGGTTTTCACCTAAAAGTGTTATTTCCCTCTAGAGTCAAAGGTACTAGGATGAGCTACTGATTTCTTTGTCAAAATACAATCCCCTGTGTCATGAGGCCACCAAATCTCAAATTTCTGCCAGGAAAACAGGATCCCCTAAAGAGGGTAGTGAATTGAGCAATGTAGAATTGCAATTTGTAATTAAAATCAAATGATGGGAAAAAAACATTCTACATAAACAATATTTTAATTAATCATAATCTCTCACCTATGTGCATTTTAAATACCTTTGCTTTTGATTTCATTTAACAGGCTCAACTTGGCTAC